ATGTATGTATGTATGTATGTATGTATGTATGTATGTATGTATGTATGTATGTATGTATGTATGTATGTATGTATGTGCCGTTGACAATGGAGATTCGCTGCTCTCCTCTTTTATCAGACGCCATCAAAATCAGACAATTTTTTCAGCTAACAAGTCGCGAATCACACCGTAAAAGTTATGATTACAAGAGTCAATCTATTGCGGCTCAGTAGATAGGTCCCAGTGGCAAGACGGGCCCTTATAATCTATTGTAGAATAACAAGTTCGCTACAATCTGATGCCAACAGAATTGCTCAGAAGTTGTCTGATGGGCAAGGCTAATGAATTGTGCATCTGCTATACTCTGTAAATCATTACATAAATCGAGTAGAGCATGAAAGGCCGGTAAGTTAGACTTAGCCTGTGGCATGAATTCTGCTTACCCTAAATTCTCCCAGAAGCATTAGAATTCAAGTGTTCTCATGAGCAGGAGCTGAGCAAACCTTAGACTCAACCGCTAGTTCCCTGCGCATCTAGCCTTAAGATTCAAGAGAATGGACACGGAGTAACGATTCGTTCAAGTTGCCATGGCACTCAGTATCAAGATCTGGACCATATGATGTCACGAAATTTTCAATGGCTTGGGTTATTAGTGAAAAACGAGAAACAATTAAATAGCCGCTAAAAAATACTATGAAAGAAACAAGTTTGTGTTAGATTAAGGTGTTCTATGTGATCGTTAGAACAGCTGAATAATCTAATGTATCGTCAAACACAACACACTTTTGCTGAGTAGTGGATGAAGTGTTGGATTTTGATGGCAGTCCAAATTTAAAACAAACTCTGGCAAGCTAAATGGAACGTAAGGAGTAAATTGAACTCAAAAAAGTACCATTACTGCCGAACTTCTAGAGTTATGGGGTTTGTGATTTTGATTGGTTCGAGCTAATCAGCTGAACATGGATATGGGGAAGACCAGCTCAGGCTCTAATTCGAAAGGATGGCAACAAGTTGATGACAACTCTTTCAGAGGAAGTTTACTGTCGCTCCTTCCTCTTCATGTTTGCCACCGAACTTGACCGGGAATCTAGTCATCTTATTGTTAGCTGTTAACGGTGTGTGCCCCTCCGTTAGAACACTCTGTGTTGCAGCTTCTCTAGAAATTGGGTCACTGCGTACCAAAAAAGCCGTTGAATGCAGTCACACAGTACAGGTTTCGATGGACATTCGATATGCAATGATGATTGCCTCAGTGAACGGAACAACTGAAAGTTGGATGCCGAAAGGATGGCGATACAAGACGAATCGACATAAAAAAGTGCCATTCTGCTTCGCCTCATTTACGATTGTTAGACAAAGCTCAGTGCGATCATGCATTCACTTCCACCACACTTCTCACGTTCTTCCCTCCTTCTTCCAGTGCATTTCTCGCGGGTTTTCACCAACCACCAGCCGATTTCAGCAAGCTGCTGTTTGCAAGAAAGTGTGAAAGTTTTTATGGAGTCCCTATCACTACAGAACCAGATTTAGTTCCTTATGATGAATGTAAACGTTGGAACCTTTGAATAAAACTTTTGAAACATCCTGAAAGTTCCATCGGTTTACAAAATCAATTAATCAAACAAGAACCTATCGAATGCCTTTTCGTTTAGGAGTGGTATTTGATGAGTATGTTCCCCTAATGCTCTACTGTGACAAGAACGGTTGGACAATCTTCAGATTCAATGCCTCTGGCTCGAGTTACAGCGTCACATTCAAAAAGTAAGCGCCTTGTCAATCATGAAGCTCACATCAATGTAATGCAAAGTGAAGATTGGAAAGCAGTGTATGAGGTGAGTATGATCAGTGAAACGGTCCACGTGAGTCAAGGATAGTCAATATGCGAAATTCGAGAAAACTGACCGCATTGTTATAATCGACCCTAGATAAGATCTACGACTTGGTCTCGACAAAACAGGGAACTTGTCAATGAACTTGAAGAAAATACGACTCGCCAATCAGTAGCGAATGTGATATATGCGCAGCGGGTGAAAGAGCTGGATGACATAACACAACAAGGAGTAGTGGAAAGTGGCCCACTATCACACACGCATGGTCACGGGTTCAAACCTCAGATCGACATCCACCTAGGCTAACCAGGCCTCCCATCCCTCCGGGGTCAGTTAATTGGTACCAGATCTTTTTGGGAGGATAGAACCACTGACTTGTATGTCGGCTGGCCACAATAAGTCATTGAATAGGCCTCATACGCATC